TGGAAACGTTGGGGGAGGACGCTGATGACACCCAGCAAGTCTGGGCCTTGGTTTGCTCACCATGGCAGGGAGGGACAGGTTGGGCTAGAATTGGCTCCTTAACCCGTGGTCTGTGGTGTGTTCTGAAACTCTGTGTGTGTGTGTGTGTGTGTGTGTATGTGTACAAATGGGCACCTTACTCAGATGTGAATCTTCAGCTTGTTTCAGTCTCTCAAAGGGTTTCAGGTTCCCATAAATCCCCCCAAAACTGAGAACTCCTGGACCAGGTGATCCTTGAAATCCCTTTGAGCCTTCGATTCACAGAGCCTCGTTTGTTAGAATGGCCACCGCCGCCAGTCTTCCTGCAGGTGGAAGGAGGTGGCCATCCCCCCTCCCGGTTGTGCTGGGGCGTAGTGGGCCCGGCAGGTGCCGTGGGACACGGTCGCTGTCTCTACCTGGACACCTGGATGGCACCTCCGCTCTTCGCCTTGGTGTGAGGAGTTTCCTGGGCGGACTTTGTGACACCAGCCTCACCCAGGAGGGGGCAGTTCCCCGGACCGGACTCGGCCTCCTTTCCCAGTCCTGTGGGTGCGACTGATAAACCGCCGGGGCAGGATGGGGCTCCGAGAGGGGCGGGAAGGAGTTCAGGGAAGCAGAGGAGGGAGGGTGGTCCCAGCCGAGGTGCTGCGGGAGGCGAGGGGTTTCAGAGCTCACAGAAGAAGGGGCGTGTGTGCCAGACGAGGAGCCCGGGCAGTGAGGGTGACGGTGTGCTCGGGGGCGAGGCTGGGTCAGCTCCCGGGGCGGGGGAGGGGGGCCCTCCCACCTGCTCTGAGCCTCAGTTCCTCACCTCAGAGGGATGCATGCAAAGCACTGTGCTCGATAACTGGAAGGTCACGTCAGCTGGTGTGACTGCACCGAGGGATCTCAGTTCGGGCCCGCGCCGCGGAGAGGCAGGTTCCCGGGCGCGTGCTATGGATGGGGAGGTCCAGAGTCACACAGCTCTTAGCTGGGATCTATCAGCTGCTCCGCTGGACCCAAACCTGCCTTCTTCCCAGAACGTGACGCCGACCTCCGGTTGAAACACCCACGGGAGGATGGATGTGGCTGGGCAGCTGGGTCGCACCAGCCAGGGGGCTCGCGCTCTTCCCCACGAGGGAAGACTTGGAACGTGCAGGGTGTTCTTCCTGGAAGGTTAGGCTGTGAGCCGAGGTGACCAGGGCAGGTGAGATGGGGTTGTGTCCCTGCAGACACCCTCCTCCCGTTCTAGACCACGAGGGCGCTGTGAAAGGCAGGACACAGTGGACCCAACTGAGACCTGGGGACAAGGTCCCGGGCGCCAGGGCAGGGGAGGAAATCTGTGTGGCCATGCCCGCTCAGCAGCAGGCTGCCGCCCGCTGAGGTCTGGGCAGAGCCAGACTGCCAGCGGGGGATCCCAGGAGGACTCGAGATGTAACCAGGAGAAGCCACAGCTCTGGGAGCTGGCTGGCTCCTTCAGGAGGAACAACGGCACAGAGAGTGCTTTGGAACATCCATTTGTGAGCAGGAGGAAGGGTCCAGTGGGGCCATGCAGATCAGTCAGGACTCCCAGATGTAAGCAGCCAAAATGGACTCAGGCAATCGCCAGCAGCAAAGGAATATGCTAGAAGAATTGATGGGAGCCTGGAGAACAGGCTTGGAAAACGGACTAGAGCCGAAGCAGGTGATGGGACCATGTCCCAGCCAAGCATTCACCTTTACAGGATGACACTGCTGTGCCTCATAATGAATTCTTCCCTCCTTCGTCCTGACGTTACTTTGCTGCAACCTAGATCACCTGCTCGCGCTCAACCCAGACAGGCCGGGGACCCCCTTAAAGATCCCTACCAGGGGCTCGCACGTCGGGGAGGTCCCCAGAATGGGAATGGGCTGCGCCAGGTTATGAGGGAGACAGGTCTGTGTTGGACAGGCTGCCGAGGCAAAGGAAGGGGGTCGCCTCGCCGTCGACTGCTCACGACCAGGGCTCCGCTGTTTGTGTTCGTTCGTCCTTGTGCAACCAGCCCTGACCGCACCAGCCCTGACCGCACCAGCACCTACTCAGCGCCGGTGGTTTGGGAATGAGATTCTGCCCTCAGGGAGCTCACCGTCCACTCATTCATTTGTTCGTTCATTCATTCAGCAAGTCTCGCTCGGCCACCCGGTGCCCCAGGTCCTGGGGATACGGTGGTGGTCACACAGGGACATGTGTTTGCGGGGCACTGTGCTGGGGCCAGTGGGCACAGAAGAGGGATGGCTGCACTTCTCCCCCTCTCCTTCCTCCTGTCTTCTCTGTCTTCCTTTTTGTCCTCACTTGGCCATTCAGTCCAGCCAGTGACACATTATGGGCACTGCCCGGGCCCACGGTGCTCCCTCAGAACCAGTAGAAGAGCCCGATCAGCCCTAAGCCCGTGTGGCCATACCTCCCATACTCGTTTCCCACGGCCACTGTGACAAATTACCACAGGCGTAGCCGTCGGAACAACACAAATTTATTATTTGTTCACGGTTCTAGAGGCCAGAAGTCCAGCACAGATCCCACTGGGCTAGAATCAAGGTGTCAGCAGGCTAGTTCTTCTGGAAGCTCTTAGGAAAATGGGTTTCCTTGCATCCTCCAGCTTCAGAGACTGCTGGTGCCCCTTGGCTTGTGGCCAAATCCCTCCAGCCTCTGCTATCTGTCCAACTCTCCAACCTCCTCAGGACCCTTCTGATGACAGCGGCTCACCCACATAATCGGGAATAACCTCCGCATCTCAAGGTCCTTAACTGACTCACATCTGCAAAGCCCCTTTGCTGCCTACGGTAACGTATTCACCAGGATCAGTGTGTGGACCATCTTCGGGCGTCCTGTATCTGGCCTCCCACACCTGCCCCTCTCTCTGGCACACTTGGTGTGTGAGAGAGCACAGACTGGGCATGTGCTGGGGCCGGCTCATACTGGCCAGTACCAGCTCCTGAGAGCCCATCCTACTCATCTCTTGCAACTCTGGTCCAGGGTGGCCCGGGATCGGCCAAGGCGGGATCGTTTATAGCCCCAGGGGTGGCTCGTGCTGTGGTCAGGCTTTCTTATTCTGGAAAACCTGTTGTTCCACATTTATCACCACCCCACTGGCCGTGGCTGCATGGATCCTGAGCCCCCCAGTTTGTAGAGTGTCTGCACATGCCAGGTGCGGAGCGAAGTAAGCACTTTACAGGGAGTATCTCATTGTTGGGGATCTTTGCATCGCTCTCCCTCAGCATGGAGTATATTTTGTCGTCCTAATGAATAGGAATTGTCACAAGACCACAGAGCTAGGTCAGCACTGAGAGGAGGTGACTCAGCCACAGATTCTCTGGGGTGCTGCTGGTCCTGTGGCAGACTCCCATCTCCCCAGTCAGGTGGTGCAGGCTCTGTGTCTTTGGGGTACTTGAACCCAGGTCTGTTGGAGACTCAGCCATTGCAGAGGTCCCGGGATCACACAGACGGTGTCCCCGGGCCTGCTCCCTACTCGGGGCAGAGGTGCAAACTTGCCTTGTGTCCGTGGGCTGGCCTCAGTCTGAGATTTGGAACGAGTCTCTGAGCTTGCCCACAGGAGCCTGATACCCCGCCGTACTGGCCACTGAGCTGATTCATTTGTTCAAGCCCAGAGATTGCCCCAGACTCTGCCCTGGGAGAGCAGCTGAGCATCAACAATTTGGGTGGGGAACCTGGATCCCCTGGACAGAGGGGGACCCTGAAGTTGGACCACTTGTATGTGCATGCATGTGTGTGTCCGTGTGGGTGGGGAACAGAAGTTGGACTTTGATGCTTGGAAAGAGGCTCCGGCCTTTGTGAGAGTCCCTGGACCATCAAGGTCGGGGTCAACTTGGAGCAGAGGGCTGTGGGGTCAGGCGAGAACAGACGCTGCATTTCTGCCCTTGGGGTTGGTCAGTGGAAAACTTGGAATGCCATAACTATGGTTCACAGCATGAGTCGGACTGCCTGGGTTCAAGTCTTGGCCCCGCACCTGCTGCCTGTGAGCCTGTGGGAAAGCTCCTAACCTCCCCCAAGCCTCAGTTTCCTCATTTGTACCCTAGGGGTGACAATGCTGAGGGTACCAACTCCCCAGGGTAGACTTGCGAGGACCCAACAAGCCAGTTGGGCCACGTTTTATTTGAGAGGAACTAATGATGGTTTTGGTGATGACAGCAGTGACCGCATTTGTGGGCGACCACCTGCTCTGTGCCAGGCCCGATTCTCTGTGCTCCCCAGGAATCATTCCCAGTCCTCATGACATTCCTGCAAGGTCAGGGTTCGTGGCCCCATCTTACAGACGAGAGACGCCAGGCCGAGTTGTCAAAGTCTGTGAATGAGGGTGGCGTGGATCTGGGAGGGTTTTGCCCCCTGTGTGGTGATTTTTAACTCGGGTCGGCCTGAGTTCAAGGCTAGGCGCCTTCTTCCCTGACCTTCTGCAGTCGGCAAGAGGCTAAGCCCACCGGCTTTGAAACCAGCCTGCCTGCGTTTGAGTGTACCTAGTTGATGTGAGATCTTGGAGTCTCAGTTTGTCCCCCTGTGAAATGGGCATAGTGCCAGTGAGCTCACGGGGCTGTTGTGAGGGCTGACAACAGAATGTGTGGCTAACAAATGCCAGGCACCTGGAGCAGCGCCTGATGGAAAGGAGGTGCCCGAACCGCTCCCACTCCCAGCATCCCACCACCATACCTCCCTCTTCCCATTCATCCCGGTCCCTCCCGTGATCCTACATAAGTCAAGATACGTGTACAGTGAACGCTTCCAGCCACCAGTGTCTGGAGTCACTCATACCCAGCAAAATAAGCACACAGTGGCAGTGATGTCTTATTCCAGGAAAATCCCACTGGTAGCTGCTTCTGTTTTGGTTTTGTACCCAGGAGGTTCCACTGGGTGAATCCCTGTGTGAGGGCCGCAGAGCAGACTCTGCTGGGTAGGGCAGGCTGGGCCCCGCGTGCTTGTGCCCTGAAATGCTGCAAGCCGGTGACTGGACCTCGCTGTCCTCTTCTTGTCGTTGCAGGCTGCCAACAGCTACCTTCGAGACCAGTGGTTCCATTCTCTGCAGTGGAAGGTAAGTCCTGACTTGGTGGCTCGTTGAAGGCGGCTCTGTCTCCGGCCGCCTCCTGCAGGCTCACAGCTAGTCCGTTACCCAGAGGTGTGAGGGCGGACATCTCTTGCCTTACAGACGGCTCAGCCGAGGAGCCTCGCCCCATTGTGTAAAAGCCTCTCCCCCTTCTCCCTCTGATGTTCGATGCCTTTCTCCCTGCGATGGCATTCCTGCCCCGTTGGCCACTGACTTTGCTCATGGGCTTTCTAGCATTGTGTCTGCTTCCGAAAGGATCGTAGAAGCCCTTGCTTTCAGAACAGGGGCTCTCCTGAGGGGCCGGGTGAGGCAGGGCTCAGGGTCTCAAGATGCTGGGTTGAAAGTAACTTCTGAAGGTTGTTCCAAACATAAATCTGCCAGAGATTCAGACACCCAACCATTCTTCCGCAGTCTTCACTTCCTTTTAGCTACCTGGTTCTTTGGCCTAATTTTCCTGTTCACCCTCTGCGTAGGATGGTCCAGAGCCTTTTAGCACATAAGGAAATGAGTCCTCTGCTGGTCACTTTCAAGACCCAGGGGCCAGATCTGCTGCAAAGGATCCTCCCAGCCCCCCCCGGGAAATCCACGTTCTGCTCCAGGGTGTGGAATGTGCCCTCAGCTTCTCCTTATGCCCCGCCTCCCCGTCCCTCCCCCTTTCTGATCTTTTAGTTTAGAACAAGCCGTGACAGTCGTGTGGCCTCACCGAGCCAGCAGGGTATGGCTGGAATGAGCGTGCGTGTCCTGAGCTGTCAGTCGTTACAGTAAGCTGGAGAGCTGCGGAGGATGAGCGGCAGGCGCTGTGCAGGGCGTGAGGCCGAGTGCCACGTTGGGCTGACCAAGGGAACACTCGGAATTCCTCCCGTGCCTCGGAGGGACTCCTGTCACAGCCGGCCCAAGGACGGAAATACAACCCCAGAAAATGACATTCCTGGCCCCAAAGAGGGCCACTCCTCCCCACTCCCCCGACAGCTGCAGGTCGTCCCGCTTGGTGCCCATGTGGCAATCTCAGAAGCTCAACAAGAAGTCTCCAAGTTGGGGCTGCAGAGGGAAAGGATTCGAATTTATTGAGCACCTACTGTGTGCCAGGCCCATGAAGCTGGGCTCATCGTGGCCATTTCACGCCCGCCACAGCCCTTGTAAGGCTGATGGCTGTCACTGCTCCCATTTTACGCATGGGGAAGGTGAGGCTCGGCTGGAGCCCGGCTCCCATAGCTAGTCAGGGCTGGAGGGAGGGGTCAAACCTGGGTCTCTCTCATGCCCACAGGTTTCTGAATGTAGGCAGCAGGCAGCGGGTGACAGTGAGGAAGGCAAGGTGGCACATTCCTGCCCACGGAGTCAGCAAGAGCTGCTGAGAGCTCAGTTTCCCCAGCAAGATTATCCCTCGTCCCTGAGGCCTGGCTCTCTGCGGCCCCCTGTATCCCAAGACAGGCAGGGCTTATGTCAGGACCTGCTGGGGGCCCGTCTGGGAGTCAAATGCCAGAGCAGTCGAGGGGCAGGGAAGATAATAGGGATGGAGTGGTTGGGGAGCTACTGAAGGAAGGGGCCATTTCACTGCCGCAGACCTCGGCTGCTTGGCCTCCTCCCCCTTCTGTTGTCCGTATGTGTTTTCCAAGTGAGTGGAAAGCTCAGTAGGTGATTGCCTTGCTTTGTCTTAGCTCAGGAAGGGGCAGGAAGGACTTGGAGACATACTGTCCACTTGACAGGTGGGGAAAATGCCGCATTGCAGAGGTGGCCAAGACCCATGCCAAGGGAGAGTTTGGCTCTCTTCAGTGGTACTCCTCAGAGCCCTGCATTTGACTGCATGTTCTTCAACTGTTGTCTACGGCCTATGGGAACACCTAAGAGGCAGTGCTTGGGGAATTCGTGAATAGTGTGCAGCTAGGAGGGATGACTAAGATGGTGGGCACGGAGAGCTGAATTTCGGAGACTGGCTAGAAAGATGATTTGAAAGTGACAGTCTTGAAATGTACAAATTTAAACGTCAAGTTTAATTTTCAGACGATTGACTGAACAGGTACGGAATTGGGGATCCCTGGGCTTCCAGCAGTGTTCAGGAAGACCTGAATGTCTGCACTCAATTTTGGTGGCATTTGGTTTCTTTATGGTTGTTAAATTTAAAAAAACAAAAGCCACCCCGCCTAAAAAAATAAAAACAAACAAAAGCATCCAGGAAAGCCAAGTCACAGTTTCAAGGAACTGGCAAATGCCTGGCAGTGTGTGGCCCTTTTGCCAAGTGGCAGATGGTGACCTTTGTTATCACTGTATAAGCTTTCACTTGTGTCTTAGGCGGCTGTAAGACACTGGCAGTCTTCCTCCTTTGACAGTTGCCCCCCCAATAATTTAGGTATGCTGCCACCAGGTGGCAGTGTATCTTAGTGTCAGCACCTTGGTTTCAGTTTTGATGAGATTGGAAGAGGCATGTCCTCCTTACTTTTTAAAATGGCGAAGAAATTTAAGGTGTTTTGGAGGCCCTTCGGGCTAGCAAAATCAGCTGAGAGACCTGGATTCGAATTCTGGTTCTCTTAGGGTCTGGGTAGACTCTAGGGAAGTGTTCATTAATTCAGACGCAGTTACAATGTACCACGCACGGCTGTGTACTTTTCTGTGCTTTGTCATTCAGCAAATGAGGGAACCAAGGCTCAGAAAGGTCCAATTACCCATAGCCGCACAGCAGATCTTAGTACAGATCTGTGGGGCTGCCCTGCCTCCTGCTTGATCCAGCTATGCCTGATTCTGAGCTTTGGATGCTTCAGCCCACTTAGGATGTGACCTTCTGCCTCTCCTGATGGAGCCTCTTTTTTCGCCATATTTATAACCAATCTTCTTGGCTTTTTCCTTTTCCTCTTCTCAGTATCTTTTTAGAAAATCAAAAATAAGGACTTTAGAAATCCTGCAACCTCAGCCTGATCAAAATTTTCTACGTGTTGTTTTTGTCCTTTTCCTGTACATCAACGTGTGTGTGCATATCGTTGCTGCAGTGCGTGTGGAGAAACCATTCTTCTATTTGTAAGGAATGTTGCCTCTTAAATACTACACTCCCATTGGTTTAGTTTTTACTGAGTTCTACTGGTGTCTCTAGGGCTTTCTCAACAGAGAATTGCTCCCAAGGGGAGCCAGATTGGTTCTTTGGGGCTTAAAAAACCTTAAGTTATTACAATAGTACGTGGCCCTGCGAAGTTCAACCCCATTCAACAAAATCTAATTATTTAATTTCAAAGGGAGGAAGGGAAATAGGAGGAAAATGCCTAAAAAGGCTCTTGGGGTGGGGGTGGGGGGCAAGGATAATTAGAAAAAGGCTGAGAAATGCTCAGTCTGCCCCAGGTGGTGGTGTGGGACAAGACAGAGCGTAAATAGGATACCTGTGTGATCTTCTTACCTCCGTCCTGGTAATCCTGTTGTTCAGTGACCTCACCGCCGGGCTTCTGCCTTCTCGCACTGTCACAGTCTGCTTGGTGAGTTTTTTTGGCCCAGACCCTGTATTTTGAGCATCGTTTGGTCTCCCTGAATAGTCCGTCGTTACTGACGCTTGCATGTGAGGACATCTGAGTCACTGGCCCATGCTCCCAAGGCTACCCAGAAGGGTCCCAGCTCCCGGGTTCACCTTCCCTGCTCCCCCCACCCCTCCGCCTCCTCCCCTCTTCCACTCGGCCTCCTGCCTTTGGCCAGCACTGCTCAGGGAGACCTTCTCACAGGAGGACAACCAGCTTCTCCAGGCCCAGGAAGGAGGGTGGACGGGGCTACTCTGGGTGGTAGGACAGTAGCAGTAGCCCTCCTAGGGTCCTCTGGAGCAGAACATGCTGTCTTGAGGGCTCCCTGGAGAGGCCAGCCCTGTTTGGTTTGGGTGGTTTGGCCCCTGAGGCCAATTCCTAGGGGTGTGGAAACATAAACAGTTGTAGTGAGTTAATGAGGCCTCATTTCTGAGTCAGAGATGCACCTTGGAGGCCAGGTCCTGTGGAGACAGGCCTGTCTGTGTGTGTAAGACCGGGAAGGGACAGGCCTGCCGACGTGTGCAAGGCCATGAGGGGACAGCCCTGTCCCTGTGTGCAAGGCATGTGAGGGCGTCATGTGTGTTTACAAAGCTGCGAGAAGACCGGCCTGTTTCTGTGTCCCAAGTTTTGAGGCAAGAGGCCTGGGTGTGCACGACTGTGCGGGTCAGGCCTGTCGGGGTGGACAGCCCCTGGCTGGGAGGAAGCATGCACCAGGCCCATAAGGGAGCCCACAAGGATCGAGATACACGGGTTTCACATAGCTGGCACTTCTGGAGTCTCCAGCTCTGGAAAACGGCCTTTTCACTTCCTGAGAGGGGTTCCATTGTGGGCCGTTGCACAGAAGTCTTGAAAACCAAGACGGTTTTATCCCCAGAGGAAGCGGGGTTATCCCAAGTGCTGGGGGCAGAGAAGCGGACTCCACATGAGACGAGAAGCTGACCTGTTCTCCTGGCCCAAGGCTGCGGGGCAGAGGCATGTCCTGGGCTCTGGGAAAATCCCAGCTCAGGTTTGTATCCTGTCTGGCATTCCGCCCTGGCCATGCTGCCTCCTCTCCTTGAGCAGGTTTCCCCAAGCCCCTGGGTGGCCACAGCCTCGTGGTCACCCCATCTCTGGCTCTGTCCCTCTTCTGTACAGAGCAGGAAGGTAGAAAGGAACGTGGGATGCACATGCCTGTGTGAGTGAATGAGTGTGTGAGAGAGAGAGAGAATGTTGCATGTGAGGGGTAACCATGTTAGGAGTGTATTGGGTGTGCAGTGGGTTTATTTGAGCCTCAGTTTTCTCCTCTGTCTATTGGGGATAATCCAGCACCTTGCTCACTGGGTCCGGGCGGGGTGGGATGCTCTGCTGTGCATGAGGCAGTTAGAAGGGGGCTGGCAGCCGCTGTGAGAGCCTCACAGACACTCTGATTAGTGTGGCTCAGTGCGCACCCCCCCCCCCAGCCCCTGCACTGGCCCTGCGAGGCGTGTTTTAGAATCGGGGATGGGTGGGGGGCGCCTGGGT